AGGTATTTTCACAACTTTGGTTAAGCTTATTCCCAGGTATTTTCACAACTTTGGTTAAGCTTATTCCTAGGTATTTCATTTGCAGCTATTGTAAATGAAATTACTTTCTTGGTTTCTTTCTCAAATTGTTTACTGTCAGTGTATAGAAATGCTACTGCCTTTTGTATGTCAATTTTGTATCCTGCAAGTTTACTGAATTTTGTTTTTATCAGTTTTAAGTAAATTTTTTTGTGGAGTCTAGGTTTCCCTAGATATAGGATCATATTAGTCAAACAGGGATGATTTGACTTCTTCCTTTCCAGGCTGAATGCCCTTTATTTCTTTCTTGTCTGACTACTCTAGCAACAACTTCCGCTACTCATCTAGTAACAGTAGTGAAAGTGGCATCTCTGTTCAGATCTTGGAGGAAGGGCCTTCAGCTTTTTCCTGTTCAGTATGATACTAGGTGTGGATCTGTCACATATGGCTTTTCTCATGTTCCTAAGACAAAGAAATAATGCCTGAGGCGATGGATATCATAATCACTATGATGAGATTAATCCATGCTTTGTATGCCTGTTGTTTTTTTTTTGTAAAGACAGAGTCTCACTTTACTGCCCTCGGTAGACTGCCGTTGTGTCACAGTTCACAGAAACCTCCAACTCTGGGCTTAAGTAATTCTCTTGTCTCAGCCTCCTGAGTAGCAGGGGACTACAGGTACCCGCCACAAAGCCCGGCTATTTTTTTTGTTGCAGTTTGGCCAGGGCGGGGTTTGAACCTGGCACCCTCGGTATGTGGGGTCAGCGCCCTATCCACTAAACCACAGGCGCTGCCCTTGTATGCCTGTTTTAAAATACTACACGTGGCCGGGAGCAGTGGCTTGTCCTGTAATCCTAGCACTCTGGGAGGCTGAGGTGGGTGGACACCAGCCTGAGCCAGAAAGAGACCTCATATCTATTAAAAATAGAAAAACTGAGACAAGAGGATCACTTGAGCCCAAGAGTTAGAGGTTGCTGTGAGCTATGACACCAGGGCACTCTATCCAGGGTAATAGCTTGAGACTCTGTCTCAAAAAAAAAAAAAAAAAAAAGGCTTGGTGCCTGTGGCTCAAGTGGCTAAGGTGCCAGCCACATACACCTAAGGTGGCGGGCCCCCCAAGCAACAATGACGGCTGCAACCAAAAAATAGCCAGGCGTTGTGGCAGGTGCCTATGGTCCCAACTACTTGGGAGGCTGAGGCAGGAGACTTAAGCCCAGGGTTGGAGGTTGCTGTGAGCTGTGATGCCACAGCCAGCTTGAGGCTCTGTCTCAAAAAAAAAAAAAAAATCACACATACCCTATGTATATGTACAACTAGTATGGACCCAGAAAAATTAAAAATAAAAAAAATTAAGAATACTATGCAGCCATAAAAAAGATGGAGACTTCACATCTTTTATATTCACCTGGATGGAGCTGGAACATAGTCTTCTTAGTAAAGTATTTCAAGAAAAAAAGTATCCAGTGTATTCAATACTACTATGAAATCAGTATATAATCATGTACACATTCATTGGGATGGTAAAACATTACTATAGTCCAGAAAGAAGGAAGGAAGAAGGAAAGGGGAAGGGAGGAGAGGGGAGTGGGGAGGCCAGGAGGAGGGAGGGTATTTGTGGGGGAATCTCACCTAATGTACATAATGCAACAATACATTCCTAAACTACTAAGAATAGAGTATGAATGTCTTACCACAACAAATAAGAAAGTGAAGAGATGGTTATGTTAATCAGGTAGATGCAAGCATTCCACATTGCATATCAAATCAGCACACTGTCCCTCATAAATGTATTAATGTACACAGTTATGATTTAATAAAGCATTAAAGAAAATAAATAAAAAATTTAAAAATAAACAATAAAAAACATAACAAAGCTGTCTCAATACATATGATAGTGAAAATGTTTGCTCAGCAGGTCATAACTCATCACTGTAAGGGCCAAACAGAGAACCTCACACCTTAAAAGGGAAACAAGACAGTGGATGAATGAATGAAATCAAGAGCTCTAGTAATTTCCCTAAATGTCAAGAAAGGGCTTGTCAAGATAAAGCAGGGTTCCATTATTTCCTTTCTTCCTCCTGTTCCTTACTTAGCCAGTAACTGCACTACCCTCTCAACGCACATAGCTCAAAATATATTTAAAAATTTAAGACAATAAGAAAAATGTGAATAAAATATAATGTGGAGAGTTGAAAAATAAACTTGAGGAAAACAATCTGAATTTTTATTTGATAGCTGGTAGAATATTAGGATATTTGTAAGGGTAATAAAAGGAGAACAGGTTAGTGCCCATAGAACAGGGGCTACAGCGTCAGCCACATACACCAAGGCTGCTAAACAACAATGGCAACTGCAACAACAGCCAGGCATTGTGGCAGGTGCCTGGAGGAGGCTGAGGCAAGAGAATTGCTTGAGCCCAAGAGTTTGAGGTTCCTGTGAGCTGTGACAAGAGGGCACCCTACCCAGGGCGACATAGTGAGACTGTCTCAAAAAAAAAAAAAAAAGAAAGAAAGAAAATGTTAAAGTAACTGTTACATACCAAGTACTGTACTTATTCTTAACTTAGATGTTTTTGGAAAGACCCTTTTCCCCAAATCAAAACTTTCTCATTGTTGGCCAGGTATGGTGGCTCACGCCTATAATCCTAGCACCTTGAGAGGCTGAGGCAGGAGGATCACTTGAGCTCAGGAGTTTGAGAACAGTCTAAGCAAGAGCAAGACCTCAACTCTAATAGAAAAATTAGGTAAGTATCATTGGTGGCACCTGTAGCCCCAGCTACTTGGGAGGCTGAGGCAGGAAGATTGTTTGAACCCAGGAGTTTGAGGTTGCTAAAAGATATTTGTTGCCATGGCACTCTAGCCTGTTCAACACAGTGAGACTCGGTCTCAAAATAACCCCAAAACAAACAAAAAACCCTCTTCATTGTTGTGAGCTCAGGTTTAGAAATACTTTTCAAATTGTATAGAAAAGGGGTATATCTGAGAATTTGACTGGCTTTGGAGAATAAAGCCTATTGACTATTAATATAGTTAATTATTATAACACACTGGTTTTAATCTTTCCATCATTAAAAAGCCAAGACTAGGGAATGTTGGTGTCTTGGTATATGGGGACTATGATGTCAGACTCACTGGGCTTTCAGTAATATGGGATGAGCAGCCATGTGCTCTGTCCCCTCACTGGAAAACAGTGGCTGCAGAGAGCCAGTGAAAACAAGTGTCACTGACGGCCACAAGGAAAGACTGCCGATCACAAGCACAGATCAGGCAGGAGCATTGACACCTTTCCAGCAGCAAACATGAAAGTTTATTCCTCAACGGTGAAAATAATGAAGGAGTGTGGCACGTCACAGAACTACTCTCAAATGTCTGCGGGTCTATTCATTCCTGCAGACCTGTGTCACCCAAGCATACCCAAAGACAAGAAGGAAAAGGTGGTTTCATGTACACTCACGTACCACTGGCGGGAGTCCAGATTTTTTAGCTCTCTCAATAATTTTGAATTTTTCTTCAACAGATGAAAATTCTTCCTATAAAGATAAAAGTATGGAAGAAAATCATGATCACAGACCAATTTGGCTGCTTCTCAATCAACCAACTAATAAACCATCCATCCATCTCCCACCTCACTCACGAAAGATTTCTGATTGAAAACTACACATGAACTCCATTCTCCTTAAGATACACAAAGGCATAAAAGTCCCCCCACATCCCACCACCATCCAGTGACAGTGAGGGCCCTGTGGGCAATGAGTGTGTGACTTGAGTGCAGGTGCCCCTGTCTGGGTTTTCACTGTCAGCTCTGCTGTGAATCTTTTCTCCACCCCTGGCCTTAAAAGGTCCTCTCCACTCTCAGGGTCCACAAATCCACCACCTCCCACAAAGCCTTTTCCACTGCCCTGTGCTCCCTACAGGACTTAGCTGCTCCCCTTGAACTCATTTGTCACTCCACCTTTTATCAGTGTTGTACCAAGTCTACCTCCGTCATCAGATCTAGGGTTAGACTGTGGCTTAGTCACCTTGTAGCCCATCTGGGCCTTGCATGAAAGTATTAATACAAATAATAATGGATAGAGCATTAATTCAACACACATACAATGCTTGATCCCCTCTAAAATATCCAAGGATATTTGGAATTCAATCTGTACACTGGTTCAGCACAATTAGTTTCACTTCTAGCTTTAAATAAGCAGCAGAAAATATTAAAATAAGGGAAAATTCTCCATTTCTGTTTTTTTCTTTCCCAACTAGAAATTTATAAAGAGAAAAATCACATGAAAATAGTGATGAAATAATTGAAGGAGCAGTGTGGATAGTTACCTTCTATCCCAAGAATTCATTCCCAAGTCATCAAGCAACAACCTGCAGAAATAAAAGGGTCCTCGGGGTTCCACCGGCGAGGGCTGCCCTTGGCTGGTGACCTTCATTGCAGAATCAGAGTTACACCTCTGGACATACTCATCTTCCTGAGCACTTTGGCGCAAAATAACCTCAATAATTTCCTTCTCTTGGTCACAGTTCATGCCACATGGGGGTGGGGAAGGCTCATTCAGATTTAGCTGTGATGGTAAAAGGCATTCAGGACTTGTGTGGCCAATGTTTTCAAGTAATTTGTCAAGGACATCATCTCCCTCCTCAATTTGAGAAAAATCTTTCTGAGGTCCAAATGTGTGATGCTGCCACCCCGAAATCAGAAATGAAGGATTTCTTCCACTGGGTGCCAAGCACCCCTCCAGAGGTCCATATAAAACCTTACCATCCCAAGAGTACTTCCCTGAGATATCCCGCACGATCACTCTCACATCAGAGAGGGTGCCCACGGGTGAGCCACCCGCAGGCCCCTCCACGGGGGTCTGCAGGTAGGAGATGAGGGTGCTGTCGTTAAAGACAAACAGCTGCAGGTTTGGGCTCCGGAACACCTCGGAAGACAGCTCGGAGCCCTCCACGTGGGCATTGTCGTGGTTCTCGCTGACAAGGCTGTGCAGCACAGCAGGGCCCCCACAGAGCGGGTAATGCCCCAGGTGGTTCACCAGGTGGGCCATCACCATCCGGGCAGTCAGCGGGATCAGCTCCAAACTTCTCCTTTTCTTCTCTGCAAACAGCAGTAAAGAAACATACACAGATAGCAGCAAATAATGATTAAAACTGAATCCCATCAACTTAAGAGTCTCTGATTTTTTTAGTCTGGGAATCTTTTCACCCTATTTTCCTTTTTGAAACTAGTTCTATTTGAATTTAATAGCACAATTTAAATGGACTGTTGAAAAGATCAACTTACATGAAGACTTCATTCTGAAAGGGACATTTAAAAATCTGTAGATAAAGCTGTAAACAAAAGAGAAACATCACTGTCCTTCAAGAGTTCACAGCTCAGAGAACTCTAAAGAAGACAAAATCCAGTCCAAGGGGTGGCTGGGAGCTTGGGGACTGGGGCCTGGGCCAGATAGGCCACCTTGCCCCCCTCAGTACGGTAAAGGGAGACCTGATTAAAAAAAAAATGATCAAGCTTGTAACTGTTTAAATATATTTGAAGCAATTTGCTTAATAATCATTGTGACAATTTATGTTTTGTTTTTAGAGCATTTTAAATATTTAGGAGAATCTGACATATTAATAATTCATGGAACTACTTAGAAGGCTTTAACTAAATTGGTAGTTGATGATTAAATGACCAAGAGCAAATGCTTTGCAGAATTTTTAATACTTAAAATGTACAGAAAGACTTTGACAAGAGCATGTGTAAAGTGGGCCTTGTAAAATGAGGTCTGAGGAAGAAGCAAATAAACCAGGCCCATCAGCAGGTGCTGAGACGACGACTTCAGCATGAGAACAGGGAGGAAAGCCTTAATCTGCTCAATTCATAAAAATATGTATTAATCTAAGAACAAGGAAAAATGAAATCTTGTAATTTTAACAAAAACTTACTAAATATTCTAATAAAATACAATTTATAACTTGAGCTTAAAGCTTTAGGAATACTTGGTTCTATTTTGCAACACAAAAAGCCAAATATTGATTAAAATTTAAATGACTGTAAATGTGCTTTTTCATGCTAAACACTCTCCCTCTCAGACATGAAAAATCCTACTGACTTATAATTTATAATACATCAATTTTATGATGTATATATCTTAAAAAGAATCCCAGAATCTAAAAAATTCTGTGTAATGATTGAGGCATATAAGATTGTACTAAGCTTTCTTGGTTTCCTTAATTTTTTCTTTTGAAAAATAAGAAATGATTTGCATTCAATAGAAAATAAAATTTCATATCAAAACCCCCATAATTTTAGAAGCAAAGGAGGTCACCTACATTTGTCTTTGAAATTAAGCTTCTTCCCTACACAGTAGAAGCATGTATAATTTCCACACAACTAAGAAATGTAATACCCACATTTATTTATTCATTTTTTGGATATTTTACTCAGTTTAATATATAAGTCCCATACTAAGTCATGTGCCTTTAAATATTAATTTCTATTTTTTTATTTCAGATTCATATGAAGGTATAAAAGATTACACAGTTTGCATTTGTTAGGTAAAGTCCAAGTTGTAGTTGAACCCAACCTTAACAAATGAACCAAAAAGTATTTGCTTTTAATCAGCAAAACAGCTAGGTTTTATTCAAAGAATTATAGAGCATCAGGTTCAGTGCAAAGAACTGAAGATGTAGGGAGAACAAGATAGGCAGGCTCCCTGCCTGGCCGGAGCTGACAGGCCGGTGGGGAGTAAAATCACCAGACCACTGTACGGTGAGTGGCCTGGCAGAGCAGAGACTGCTGGGAAACCGGTGCCAGAGACCCAACCTGACCCGAGTCTCGGAAGGCAGCTCACAGGGGTGACAGCACAGGCTGCGACTCTCAGAGGCTAGGGTGGTAGAAAGGAAGGCGCTGCTGCCAGAGAGGCTGGGGAAAGACCAAGGGAGCAGCTCAAGGCTCCGTCAAGGCGTCTTCAAACGACTCGTTTTCTGCAGGACAAGGCTGCTGTACATTTCTCAGGAACATCCAGGTACCTGTTGCTTTCACCTCAGCTCTAAGGGGCAGCTTGTTTTAATCAGTTGTCAGCCAAACTCCTGGATATAATCTAGATATAATTTATCTGTGTAGACCACACAATCTGGGAACCACCATCACTCCGAAGGATTTTTAGCCTTAATTCTACCAATAAAGTGGACTGAATTTACAAGTATGGGATTTATTCAATTTGGAGGCAGAGAATATGACAAGAGCAAAGGGGACTGACTGTTCCCTAAGAATCTCTCATGTTAGGGGACTCCGAAAAGATTCAAAATGGCCCAAGAAGCAGCAAAAGTGGTGAAAACGTTCCAAATAAGGATAACTGAAATAAAGGGAAATAAGTACACTGACTGTTAAAGAAAGGGAAAAGGCAGGTTAAATTTTAAAAAAAGAAGTTTCATCTTCTGTATTAACCTAGATAGAGTTGAAAATGTTCTCCTCAGTAAAGTATCACAAACACAGAAAAGCAAGTATCTAATGGACTCAAGTGTAATCTGAAACCAGGAGATGAACAATTACACACCCACGTGACAGAAAAGCACAATTAAATTCAAGTGGAGGAAGGGGGCAACTGGCACAGTGTGAGGCCGTGTACCTGGCACACCTCCTGAAGGGCTCAACTACAAGTTGGACTCTACCCAACAAACACAAACAGTGCAACCTAATTGTTTATACCCTCATATTAATCTGGAATTTAAAAAAATTTCAAAAAGTTTCATATTCTCGCCTTCTGGCTTTAAGGGATGAAGCTAAAGTAATTGTCAAAACCCTTGAAAAAGGGCAAGCCGCTTGTCCCGCAAGCACTCGGTGGTGCTGGGTTCTGCAGCAAGCCCAGTGCTGGCAAGGGAGCGGGCACACACTTCCGTCCATGGGAGTTCACTGCTGCACGAGTGTGGGTCTGGATGCCAGAGACACACCGTCCTGTGCTCACAGCCCACAGCTCTGCAGACAAGTCATCTGCCCTGGACGGGGAAGTCCGTGTGGGTGGGGAAGGGCCTACGCTCTGGCGCTGGGCCCAGTTAATGGCAAGGTCTCAAAGCCTTTGCAGTCCTCCAGTGCATCATTCTCTAAACGGCCTTCAGATAAACCTTCGGCCAATGCACAGCGTCCGAGCAGAGCCGTCTGCCTGCCAGCCCACACTTTTACAAGCACCTGCAGGCCTCTGTGTAGGCACTCATCATCACCTTTCCCCCGTTTCGAGGTAAGGCGGCATGAGAGTGAAGTCTGAAGATGGAACCATCCTAACAAATAAAAACTGAGCTCCCAGGGAAGGAGTTTGAGGCAGTTCTGCTCCAGGAGCATGTCCAGTTATGGGAGAGATGCCCCAGCTGGACTGCCCTACTCAGACTAATCAGGTGACACAGAGTTTCATCTCTCTGAAGTCCTTCAGAGAAAGGAAAGTAATAGAAATATCATCTAGCCACGTCTCAAAGTCCTTTCTCTCCACAACTTTATAGAAAAATTCACCTGAAAGAGTATCCTGGGTCATGGGACCTTACTCCCAGCTCACAATGACCAGGTGCACTCAGGCCACCAGAGCCTCGCAGCGGCCACTTCTGCTCCACACCTGGACCTCTGGCCACTGCTCAGGGTCCAAAGCCTAAGCTTAACCTTTGACTGTGAAGGTCGTTTGGTGCCAATGGCACCTTTAGGCATTCAATACAAGATGTCCCATTGGTGGGAATGACACCCCTATGTCAAAACTTGACCACAGGTGACTGCCATGGTACCAGAGTTGAGTGCGTAAGCATCATTTGCTTCATTGTCAACATTTTTCACAGTTGTGCCTAAAATAATTTGTACAAATAGTGGATTTTTGTGTATGTTTAAGTACGGAGTGCAAAAATTAGAAGAGTTGCCAAGTTCCTTGGATTATGTAGGGAACTGTGTTTCGATCTGTACCACACAAAAAAAGATCTTTACATTTTTATTGTTCAACAAATCCTTATCATTTCACGTTAAATTTTTTTTGCATATTACTTTTTAAAATAAATCTAAAATATTGAAACTGAAACCAACTTGGGTGAATTGCTTTGATTAGTACGAAACCAAAGAACGCCCCGTCCCACCAGGTACCCTATGGGTGCTGTGACAGCTGCAGCCTCGGCTGGCATGTTTTACCACTGAGCGCTCCACAGGCACAGGGCTGACACCCGAGCTAAGGAACACTAGTGTCCCCAGCAACAGATGTGAAGCCAGCAGGGATTCCCGAGTGACGAGGTGGTATAGGCCATAAAACTCAGATGATAAAGGTCCAAGGCATAAAATACAATTAGAAAGCTAACTTTCTTCTACTTTTACTTAACTCACTTAGGTTGTATTTTCAACTTGAGGTTTATAAACACATTTTAATTCTATATGGGGAAACTAACACTAATCAAATCATAAATCATGACATATCCAGCAAAAATTCCATATATCTCTAGTACTGTAAAGTAAGGAAAACATTTTTGTTTGTTCATTTTTTGTTTTATATTGAGACAGAGTCTCACTTTGGCATCCTGGGTAGAGTGCCGTGGTGTCATAGCTCACAGCAATCTCAAAACTCTTAGGCTCATGTGATCCTCCTGCCTAGCCTCCCAAGTAGCTGGGACCATAGGCACAGCTAGTTTTTCTATTTTTAGTAGAGATGGTCAGACTGGTCCTGCTCAGACTGGTCTCAGACTCCTGAGTTCAAGGGGTCCACCTGCCTTGGCCTCCCAGAGTGCTGAGATTACAGGTGAACTACCATGATGGCTGAAGGAATATAATATGTGTAAAATAATAATCATTTTTCCCTGATAGACTTGAGCTGAATCAACTGCCTGTGGGTTCCTTGAAAAATAAGAGAAATTCTAGACTCTACTAGTGAAAGAAACAAGCTCATGACTTCCATAAACTACTGACAAAGTTTCCAAATATTTTGAATTTATTTTTCTAAATGTATAGATGAAATATAAAAGCAGTGAAAGTTTTCCTTTAACTTTGCTTTGTAAGAGCTGGGCACCAGTGCTAAGCGATCTGGGCACAGGCCGCCACTGGTGGCTTTCCTGTGAGCCCGGTCAGCAGCTACCTCAGCTGCAGGTAGGAAAGTGTATCTCTTGCTTGTGACTTTACTTGAAAGTAGTAATTAAATCAAATTAACAAGTAACGAGACAGGAAAGAATCATTAAAAATAATAGATTAAAATATAATACTGGTTATCAGAATTATCTGACTAGAAATAGTTCTGTTATGAAAAATTATGACATTTACTAAAAAATAAAACCCTCAAATATAAGTACACTTTGTTTAACTAAAATACCTAAGTTATCTCACCTTTACTGTTCCTCCCCCTGGCTCTGGGGTATATTATGTACTTGGCAAGTGTGTGCATGTCGTCCTGCCGTGAAGCTTCTTACTTATTTAGTTACCATGTTAGTGAATTTTAAAATCTCCTTTACAACAGAAGCACTTTTTTTTAGTACTTTAGAATTGTATTGGGAACATGTGCATAAGGTCCACAGGTTTTCTGGACATGAAATGTTCAAGTCGAGGAGTGTTGTCCATCAAAAGAAAAATAGCTTCAAGATTTAAACGTGCATTTTTAGGTTTATCTTTGTCAATTACCTGTTTTTCTTTTATTATTTTCAAGTGACAAGCCATTATAAGGAGTGAATTGGCTTTAGGGATAGTCATGTGGAAGGAGTGTAAATTAATGACTTTAGGAAAAAGTAAGTTAATTGTCTTCTGAAACAAGGACTTGTGAGACTTGTGGACTTCTTTCTAACAAAAGAAACAGAACAAGAATTATTTTGATTACTTAATAAAAATATGGTTTGAATTTATAGTTGTGGAAAAAAAGATATTGCTGTTAACAGAGCAATTCCAGAAAAACCAATTAAGTGATTAACTAGAGAGCGACTCCAGAGGACAACATGGCAACGTACCGTCACCATCTACTACCAACACAACTCAGAACAAGAGCCCTTTGTCTGCTCTAATTCCACCTTCGTTAGATCTGATTTGCACACCACTGAGAAAATCCCTCAACCTCAGTTTGCACTTCTACTAAATCAGGTGTCCTCAAACTACAGCTTGCGGGCCACATGCAGCCCGCCTAGCACATTTATCCAGCCTGGCAGGTGTTTTTGCTGCTGCTGCCTGTCCTGCTTAGCAGCCAGCTTGTCCCAGGGCCCGCAGTCCGGCCCTCCAATGGTCTGAGGAACAGTGAATTGGCCCCCTGCTTTAAAAGTTTGAAGACCCCTGTACTAAATGGAACTAAAATGACAACTGTCAGATTTCAAGCCTTTGCTCCTTCCTGGAGCGCCAAGTCCTGTGCTGTCTGTCCTCCCCTCCATCTCAGCCTGAGGTTTAAGCTTTAAACTACACTCCAGACTCTATAGTCGTGCAAGCACATCCTGCACCCTGTGCCCTCTCCCCTCAAGATCTGTTTCTGGGTTCAGAGTGGTCACTGCTCATGCTACCTGACTAGACCAACCATTCTGCCAAAAGTGCTCTGACAAAACCCACCACGAGATACCTCACTGGGAAGCAGAACAGCTCCTGTCTTGTCTTCACCTTCCCTGAGCTCTCAGAACCAACCAGCACCACTGACCTCCCTGGGCGCCTCACCTGCTTCCTTCCCCGGCTTCCTAGAAATGACTCATCCTCAGCCATGGCTTCACTTTCCTGGTGACATTATTTCACTTCTTTCTTTATCTTTACGATGTCTCTAAGGTTCTATTCTTGGGCCTAGGTTTCTAACTTGCAAAGTCCATAATAATTTTCATGGAAGAACTAATCTAACTCCACACCCACACTTTGAGACAACTGAAGATTCTCATGTAGTAAGATGAACAGAGCAACCCTAAAGTGGTGGCAAGTAAACTCCCAACTGCCTTCACGATGCTCTAATCTAGAACACTCCACAAGCTCCATTCAAAGCCTGCCTGTTCTGCTAAATCTGGCTTTAGTCTTTCTCTGTGAGAAGCACCCACGGTGCTACTTATCTGGAGAGGAGACCTTCTGAATTCATTCTGTCTCCCCCATTAGATGTAACCCTTCTTGAGGATAGAAAATGAGCCTTTTTTTGAGTTCCAAAGGTCTGAGACATATAAGGTCCTTTATAATACAAAAACCATTTCATTAACTCAGATGGGAAAAGAAGTGAGAGAAGAAAAAGAAGAAATAAAGAAATAAGACAGAGTTTTAAACGACAACACAACAAGCATGGACAAAAGGCGTTACGCTATTTCCTGAAGATTCCTATTTGGAGAACACTCACCCTCTTCAACAGTGAGCAGGTTACCCAGCTCTGCTGATGAATGATATTGGACTGGCTCAGAAGTCTTCACATTTGCCAGTGGCAGGAAGGGGTCATAATCCGTGGATGACAAGTCAGCCAGGGTCAGTGTGTAGTGACTCTGTTGGGTGTATGTGCTTGAGCCACAGACACAGCAGTGCAGAACCTGTGAAAACATAAGAGAATTGGAACCCAGCTGCTCCCCACCCTATATCTCTTGATAATCTGTCAAACTAGAGCTAAGACTCCTGCTTGGTAAGATTTGAAAACACTGAATCCGTCCCACTCTTAAATGTCTCAAATATCTGCTTGCTGTTAGCGAGTTTATTTTGCTCCTTTCACATCAGTGCCAATGAAAATATATTCTCAAGGCAGAAAGAAGGCAAAAGTTAGTAAGTGCTATTTCACCATCGAGCATCGCCTGCACACCTCTGATTCCTCCTCCAGGCTACCAAAGCTACCTCGAGTGGAAGGAACTCAGTCAGGAGGTGACCGGGTGGGATAAGCTGCCCTGGGAGGGGGCAGAATGAGCACAGTAAGAGCCATTAGTGCACTTCATGACTCAGCATCAATTCAATCTGTGTACTCTGACCCCATGAATTATAAGGGCTAACTTAATATGATTGTTAAAGTATTCCTGTTTTCACAAGATTAGACTGGAAGTCCACTGGTTATTTACAAACTGCAGCTCCTTGAAGCTCTCTGCTCACTTGGGCTTTTGTGCACAAACAAGCCTCACACATGCAAACCATCTGAGTATGCTAACATGCGTAACTGAGGCAATACTGTAATAAATTTTACTTTTAATCATAAATTCAAAAGTGATATTCATAAAAATCAAGGAATACTTTAGAAACTAAAGAAACATGCTTGGGTTAAATAATTTATGTAAACTAACTTCACTTTTAGATGACCAGCTTTGGTTCCCTCACATCGCAGGAGATCCTGTGATCAGATACCCTTGATATGCAGCTAAAAATCACCAAGGATTGCAGTTGGCAGGATAACAGGAAAAGAATACTCTTCCAAACGAAAAATCAGCATAGAAAAACCTATGTGGTTATTCTCTTATTAATGTAAAAATTGAGCTTTTGTCATTGAGAGAACTAGTTTCGATTAATCAAAGTGTAATAAATATAAAAAATGTGAATTAAAAACTACAATGCAATACCCCTGCATACCTCCAAGTATTAGCAAGAAGGCAAAGAAGCAGCAGTTCTCAGCTGCTGCTGGTGATGGTGCAGATGAGCACGGCCACTTGGAAAACCGTCTGGTGTTTACATCTCAGGCAGAACACGGGTGTCAAGCCACTTCCCTTCTCGGTACATACCCGACAGAAATGCATAGGTATGTATGTCCCACCCCGCCCTCCAAGGTACTTGAATGTTTATAGGACACTTTTGATGGTTCAAAACTCTAAATGTGTTTGGGTAAAATATCTATCAACAGTAAAATGAATAAATAAATTATGGCTTATTCTCACCATGTAATACTACATAGCAATGAGAGTGAAAAATCTACAACTCAAAAATAATGCTGAATGAAAGATGTCAGACACAAAACGACAAACTATATGATTCTATTAATATAAAGTTCAAAAATAGGTAAAAGTAATCAACCCTGTTAGGACAGCAGTGACCCTGGCAGATGTATAGGGGGTTAGGGGTTAAACGGAGACACAGTGGAGACTTTGTGGACGCTGAGAACGTTCTGTTTCCAGATCTGGGCTCTGATTTTACAGATGTGCTCATCACTTTGTAAAAGTTCATCAAACTCTCTTATAGATGATTCAGTTTTGCAAAGCATGCTGTATGTCAATAAATAGTTTAAAATACAATAGAGTTGTTCACTAAATTTATGAATCATGTTTACTATGAGGTGACTTTTATATTAGTAAAGGAAATTAAGGAGAAAAAATTTAAGAAAATAAATGTGTCAGAACAGAGATGAACATGAATGATTATGGCACATTTTGTTGGACCAAGCCACACCTAACACAGATTTATAAGATAACAGGAGCAGCTAATTATTCCTAATGTACTGAAGTCGTCAAAAAATATACATACACATTTTAAGAAAGAAAAAACTGTATTGAATTTGCAATACTTAAGTCACATTTGACTTCTGCCAATGACAAGAGGTAGGTGTTCAGAGTGACTTGTATTTATCATTTGTTATCAGCATAGATAGAGAATTACTATTTTAATACAGTTTTTTTCTTTCTCAAAATGTATATGCATTTTTTGGGGTGTCCTTAGTTATTAAAATCTGACTATTAAAGAAACCATTTAAAAATGCACACATACTTTTTAGTAGAATTGCAACCATGATTAAGTTTTTTTTTTTAATTTAATAGTATTTTTAAAATAAGGCAACAAAGTAATCCGTTTATGACTTGGTGTCTTTTTTTTTAATTAAAGGTTTATTACTAAAAAAAAATTCCCAATAATAATAATAATTATTCAATAGACATGTAAATGATAAAGTCTGAGAGACTAGGATATTACAAATAGTCCAGAGCAAATGCCACATTTAATCATAAATCTGGGTGGGAATTGAATAAGAATATATATATACATATATATATATATATTTTGAGACAGAGCCAAAAGCTGTCCCCCTGGGTAGAATGCTGTGGCCTCACAGCTCACAGCAACCTCCAATTCCTGGGCTCAAGCCACCCTCCTGCCTCCGCCTCCCAAGTAGCTGGGACCACAGGCACCAACCACAATGCCCAGCTATTTTTTGGTTGCAGCCGTCATTGTTGTTTGGTGGGCCTGGACTAGATTCAAACCCACCAGCTCAGGTATATTCGGCTGGCGTCTTAGCCACTTGAGCCACAGATGCCAAGCCAAGAATATTTTAAATACTATAGAAATTACTAGGTTAATTACTTTAATGTGATATATTTCCTAAGATTGTATAAGGCAAAGAGATTACTGAGACCATTATCCCTCTTTTTTCTTTGATGAACAGATTTTGTCAAACTCAATGCTATACAGAAACGTACAGTTAGAAGAAATAACACACAGTGCTCAACAGATCAGTAGGGCGACTACAGTCAACATTAATTGACTGTACATTGCTTTTTTTTTCTTTTTTTGAGATGGAGTCTCACATCATTGTCCTTGGTAGAGTGCCATGGTGTCAGAGCTCATAGCAACCTCAAACTCTTGGGCTCAAGTGATCTTCCTGCCTCAGCCTCCTAAGTAGCTAGGACTAAAGGTGCCCACCACAATACCTGGCTATTTTTAGAGATGAGGTCTTGCACTGGCTCAGGCTGGTCTCGAACCTGTGAACTCAGGCAATCCACCCACTGCAGCCTCCCAAGTGCTGGGATTACAGGTGTGAGCCACTACGCCGAGCCCCTGATTTGTACATTTTAAAATAGCTAAAAGAGAATAATTTAACTATTCCTAGCATAAAGAAAAGAAGTATTTAAGGTGATAGATATTCCAATTATCCTAATTTAATTATTGTGACTGTATTATCAATTATCAATCATTATCACAAGTACCCTAAAAATATGGACATTTAATATGTATCAATAAAACTAAACAAATTAATTAAAAAAGAAGCTATATGGCCATGGGAGAAAGAAATTAATGCTGTAGCTATTCCTATAATATAAACAGATTTTTCTTAAATCAGGCAGAAGCAGATTATGTTCCATGAAAAATGGGGAATTCTAACCAAAGTGCAGTTGTTTAAAGATTAAAGTGACATGTGTGAAACGCACATCTTTCACCTGACACCCCGGCTTCTCTACAACTATCTCCTTTCTGCTGCTTTTTAGTCCTTACGCTATTCATTAAAGAAAGAAAAAGTTTAACTTACCATAAATCCTTGTCAAAAGGGCAATGATAAACAAGTGAATACATAAAACATTTTAGTAGTTTTCTGACACAAAAATCCACTCAATGCCCCAGGCCCAGGCGGAGGCTCACCCTGTAGATATAGTCCAGCAGGGGGGCTCTGGCTGAGTGCTGCTCCTCCAGGACCACCGTGGACACCGGGTGGAGAAGGGCATTCACCGGCAAGGCCATGCACCAGTCCAGGAGGCAGAGGAGCAGGGACACGATGAACTGGAAGACAAGCATGCCCAAGAGCTTACACTTTAAACCTCACTGTGTACAACAATGAACAAGAGACTCTCCCTGCTTATAGCAATTATCCAACAGAGATGCAAATGCCAGGGAGGGAGGCAAGTGAGCAGAATAAACAGCATCTCACAGGCCGATACAGAGAACACTACTTGTAATGTTATAATCTTCTATTTTACCTTTTAAAAACTCCAGGGAAAACTCAGCCCATCTGCCACCTACCTTCTTGTCTGTTTCCACTGAGGAGTACTCTGCACTTGGTAAAAGAAAGGCGATCGTGGCCACGAGGATCTGTACGGAAAGTAAGACCCCAATGAGACACGCCACAGTGACCGTTAAGAATCCTAAGATGACCTTATGGCTGAACCGCAAGGGTGCGGTGACCAGCCACTGGAGAACAGTGACACAAAGCCTGGTTCCTATTCTATTCTACTGGTGGGGAAGCTGGGGAGGACGGAGAAGGCATACTTCCCTTGGAGTCACAAAACGTCCACTATCAGCTTCCATACTTCTCACAGTGAAGTCAAAAAATACTTTCAGAAATAATTATTAGGCTCGGTGCCTGTGGCTCAAGTGGCTAAGGCGCCAGCCACATACACCTAAGGTGGTGGGTTCAAATCCAGCC